TTCCTTCATCCGCGGCAGCTGCGGCTCCGGCTTCTACCCAGACGCCTTTGCCCCGGTGGCAGAATTCGCAGACTGGATCAACTCCATCATCCGCCCAGGCCAGCATGGCCCCCCTCCCCACCCCAGAGTCCCCACGAGCAGGACCCCCTAGGAATGGGCCACCTCCGCCTTCCCACCACATCTGGCACAATAAAAGCCCCACCGTTTTGTAAAGCGAGTCTGGTGTCCCTGTCGGTGGTCCCATCGCCCCTGAGGAATGGTGGTACAGTGGAGTCTCAGTTGGTGGCACAATCAGGGTGGGGCCGGGAAAAGAAACCGGTCTTTCCCCTCACTCCCACTTTTTGTTATTTTGTTAAACTAGGTCCTTTGGGCTGGCCTTGAACTTGCCCTGATCCTCCTGCCTCAGCCTCCTGAGTGCTGATTACCAACACGTGCCAGCACTCCTCTTCACAAAAGGATCCAGGATGTCATTTCTGGTTTCGGTCCTATAAAACTCAGTTTCAACAGGTGTGGTGGTTCACACTTTCATCCCAGCATTATGGAGACTGAGGCAGGAGGATTGCAAATTTGAGGCCAGCCTGCATAACTTATAAGACCTTTTCTCAAAATAAAAAATAAAAAGGGGGCTGGGGATTTAGCTCAGTGGTGCCGCTGCCTGCCTCACAAGCTCAAGGACCCGAGTTCGATTCCTGATACCTCCCCCAAAAGCCGGGTGTGGTGGTGCACACCTGTAATCCCCCCAAAAAAGGACTGGGGAGGTAGCTTAGGGGTAGAGCATTTAGAATGCACAAGGCCATGGGTTCCAGGCTTAGCACTGAAAAACAACACAACAAAACAGAGAGATCCCACTTCACATAAGGAGATCAGAGAGGCAGGTGGAATGGTGCAGAGCCAGAGGGTGGCGCTCAGGTGCCCTTGAGTCTACAACATGTGCACCCGGGCCTCTCCAGTCCCTCTGGCCAACGCCAGCAGGGCCCTTGCTTCCCAGAGGGGAAGATGAGGTGCACCGAGGAGCCTGGGTTTGGGGCAGCACAGCGGTGCCCCAAGACCTCGATGGCAGTCTATAAAGGAGCTTTCTGTGGCCATGGTTGGGGACTGTGACACACAGCCCCTGCCATCCTGTGCCACCCCAGCAACCAGATGAACAGAAAAAGTACAAGCTGGATGTGGTGGCACATCACCCCTATCATCCCAACTCTTTGGGAGACTGAGGCAGGAGGATGCCAAGTTTGGCAGAGCAAGACCTTGTCTCGAAATAAAAAATAAAAAGCACTGGGAGTGGAGCTCAGTGCAAAGGCCCTGGGTCCACCCCTAGTAGTGGGGGCGCAGAAATATCGAACTACTATGGGTGTCCTGCACTGCCCTGTGGCGGCTCCTTCTTCCACATCAGCCCCTGAGATGTCCATGTCCTCAGCTCCCTGGAGCAGCAGGTTACAGACTGGACGTCTTGCTGGGCCCTGGGCTGCGTCCAAGTGCTGCTGCAATCTGAACATTCTTACTTGCACAATCTGGGTTCTGTGCTAAAACGCTTGTGGTCCAGATCTTCTGATTTTAGGCAAATGCTTTAGTAACTGCAGGGATCACAGGTGTGCACCCTCTTCTTCTTCTTCTTCTTCCTCCTCCTCCTTCTTCTTTTTTGGGGGGGAGGGTTTGAGACAGGGTCTCACTAGGTAGTTGAGACTGACCTGGAACTCACTATGTAGCCCAGGCTGGTCTCGAACTCGAAGTGACCCTCCTGCCTCAGCCTCCCAAGTGCTGGGATTACAGGCGTGCGACACCACGCCCAGCACCCTCTTCTAATCTTTACGTATGGAGTGGTTCAAGGTGAAAGAAGACAAGCCAAGGTAGGGGCAGACAGTGTGCAGCTCCTTCAAGGAGTCTCGGGGCCTCCCCAGATGTACCCTTCCTCCTTGACCTTGGCTTGGGAGATGCCAACCCAAACCCTCACCTCACAGAGGGCCACTGACTCAAGACTCTGGGCATCAAAATCTGTGCCTAGGGTTCAGCTCAGGGAGGAGCACTGATCCTTGATCAGGCAATCATAAGCAGCCCTGAGAATTTGGCTGTTGTGTTGGGAAATTTTAGGAGGGGCTCACAGTGAGTGTTGGGCACCTGGGGCAACAGCAGAGGATCATGGTGGGCAGAGAAGCCATTAAAGCAGAAAAGAGAAAGAAGAAATGGATGCTTGACCTCATTCAGGCATCTGGATCAAACTATACGTGAAGGCAGATAGCTCTGTGCTTTCTTTAGTGATGGCTACACCAGTTTTACTTGTCTTTTTTTTCTTCTATCACTTGTATCTGACCATCTTTCCAACCACCCCTACATTTCATCTTTCATCTTTTTTTTTTTTTTTTTAAGACAGGGTCTCGCTGTGTAGCCCAGCCTGGTCTTGAACTCACAGTAATTCTGCCTCAGCCTCTTGAGTGCTGGGATTTCAGGTCTGCACCACTAGGCCTGCTAACATGCCATTTTTGCAACTTTCTGCTTGTTGGGTTGCCAGGCCACCCCAAGACCATAGGGGCATGGTCCAGGGGCATTTAGGGAGCTCTTCTCCACCCGTTCCCCAGAGGATTTGAACAAGGGAGGAGAAGATGAAGCAAGTTGTTTACAGACTGTGCCTCCAGCTGCTATTGTGAAATTTGGGGCTGGAAGGACACTGTGGTCTAGGGAACATGTGGGCTGGGGTGGGCATCCCGGCCTCCTCTCTGCTGCCTTCCTGTCCATCCCCAGGCACTGCTCCCACTGGGGTGGGTTCCAGCCAGACCCCCAGGTCAGGAGGGATCCCTTAGCCTGTCTGCGAGTCTGGCAGGGAGACCACGAGCTGGGGCAGTTCAGGGGCTGGGTGGAGGTGGGACGGACGGGTGGGTTCCCCTTTGACCAGTTGGGCCGATGCCCACCAGGCAGATGGGTCCCCTGGGAGGCACCCGCCCCCTCTGCCTCTATAAAAGGCCCCGGGGCCCCGCCTGGGTCAGCGTCTGTGATCACCATGGCGGGCCTGGCAGCTCTGCTTCTCTTGGGGGTGGCAGTGTGTGGTGAGTGGGGTCAGGGGTTGGGTTGAGGCCTGGGATCCCAGTACAGTAATCCCGAGGCAGGATTGCTGTGAATACAAGGCCAGTCTGGGTTACATAATGAGACCCTGTATTAAGAAAAACAGAGCGGGGGCGGGGGGAAGAGAGGAAGAGGGAGAGAGGAAAGTCAAAGATTCTTGAAACTTTAAATCTTGAAATCTGAGCCTTCAGATGTCTGAAATTTGTCCACAGCAAGAACCTACTTTTACTGTGGAAAGGGGCCTGTGGGCCTTTGGGCTGGCAGAGGCGTTAGGTTTAATCACCCCGCTTTTTTGGGGGGGTACCGGGGATCAAACTCAGGTCCACTGCACTCGCAAGGCAGGCAGTGGAACCACTGAGCTAAATCCCCGGCCCTGATCCCCCAGCGTTTCTGAGGTTTAATGTGAAGTCCTTAGGTCAGGGTGTAGGCCTAGAATTTGGCCCAAACCCCATCGCTATGGCCGTCTTGGGCATTCACCACTCTACCAGGTGCCTGGGTTGGTTTGCAGCTCCTCAGAACCGCACCTGGCAGCGACGGGACTGAAGGACTGGGAGGCCTGGCCTGGGGGGGTTGTGAATCCTGGTCCTCAC